CAAACGGCTACTTCCCACGGCAATATTAAGCTGCCACCCTGATTAAAATATAAAGAAGACGAATATGCTGAAAACAAGATTCTTCGACTACTTGTAAAAAAAATCTGCAAAAATGCCTTTTATTCTATCCAAGTTTAAAAACGCCTTTACTTAACTTCATACGGGGTGGTATAAGTAACAAAATCAGCAAATAGGAACAAGTATGAAGGTGGGACAGCAATCATGCACCTTCGACCGTCAGGCTGACTCACTCCCAGAGCAGTGAGCACTACAATACTGAAGATTATGAAGCTTCCAAGCCTCAGTTATTGACATCTGCGTGGGGACCTCATTGAAGTATACAAGTATACTCATGGTTTATACAAGGTCCCAGAAGAATTGCTAGAATTTGAAACATGAACCAACCCCAGGGGCCACAGCTATAAACTAAAAAAACTGCGGCGCAACTCATTCATGCGACAACATTCCTTCTCGCTTCGAGTCACGAACATGTGGAACAGCCTCTCCGAAGATATTGTTGACGCTCCGAGTATGAACGCGTTCAAAAACAGACTAGACAAGGCCATGCAAGAGCATGTCTTTAGACTTGAAATGTCTAGTACACTACGGAACAACTGAAAGTCTAGAAACGATTTTAATGCTACCGTCCATTGAAAAGATGTGATCAAAAGGACAGTCTTAGAGTTCTTTGAACTAGTCAATAAAAGTACAAGAATCGCCGACAGGCCTATCCAGACCTATTCTTCAACGCCGAAGATACTATACTATAGTAACTATACTATTTCTGCGGTCTTGGCAGCTGTACTGGGTCTGCCTTACTTGAATCTCACGTCCTTTTATAAACATGGTGCTTCCGCCCACATCGTGGGAGCGGCCTCGCTCACGTGATGTATAATGATTAAGGGTTTTTCATTCCATCAATGTCCACCGCGTCTTCATAACAGTTTCTGTAATCTAATAATATGATAAGAATGAGATGCTTGTCAGGTGGCATCCTTACCTCACATTCAAGGTTAGGAATACAGCACTGTCGATTCGATTAAGGTTAAGGATATATAATTGCACATAAACCTTGTGAATCGGACTCAATGTAGGGACACTGCACCTAAACCTTGTCAATGTCTTAGGTCTCGGCAAAGACGATGTATTTTCCATTCAGTTTTTATGTCCATGAGGCAGAATTTTAATGATTCTCAGCATCCTGGGAAGCGGGAGAAATTCTTAAAAGAATCGTTCACGCTGAATGGGTAACAGATTATTGAGATGCCTCATCAGTTGCCAAAGAATCATAAGCGACAATTGAAAATAACATTTTCATAGCTGGTTGAAGTACTTTGTTGGAAAAAATAATTGTTAGCTTGAATAAATCAGATCTATTAATTTAATTATTTCACAAAAAACATTGATTTCATTAATTACTTTCACTAAATTCAAAAATTCAACAATTATGTTAAGAGATTCCATACTCGTGGACCATCCTTTCAATGCTCTTTTTATGCCACTGATAGGAGCTGTCGATCAGGGCAGAATGGAAACTCAGGTGGCAATTATTATTCAGTAAGGGTTCCAGTAAGGTTTTCCACCTCAGGCTTCCAGTAATGGAAACTCAGGTGGAAAAATTCTCATTTTTTGTCAATTCAGAAAATATTGTATAAATAACTTTGTAGAGAAATATTCCCAACGTTGATGGCAATCCTCTTCTAGGAATGATCAAAAGGTAAGCGATTGGCTTTTCATGTTTCGGTGACCACACGACGTTTCCAAACTCTAGGTTCGGGCGCACGACAGCAACAAATAACTGCTTCATCGCTTCTGCATCTAAGAACTCGAAAGAGCGTCTGAATTCAGTACAAGTCGTCCAAGTCGATCAGTCCAAGCGATCAGTCCAAATGCCCTCACCGCTACATAATCAAGAGTTTTGATTTTCCCGAACCTCAGGGATGAAAGTAATGAACCCGCAATTATATCTATACGCCGCTTGATGATGGCTTGACTAAATTCATTCTCGCTTGATGTTTCGTCTCACGTAGAGACGATCTTGTGTACCGAGGTTGAGCTTAGGGATTCAATCGTTGTAGCCATGCAGAATACTTATTTATTTGGGCCGGTTGATTGCATGATACTAAATACAGTTAATCAAGGCGTTATAACGTTTCTAATTTGGTTAAATTGCGAAAGTTGTACACACATTTTACTGTACTACTCTTCGCCCGTACCTAAAATAAGAAAAAAAATTAATTGTAACCGGCGGCTATAGAACTGAGAGTTGGTTGACTTCTAACTTTACCCGTAGTACATATTTAAATATTCAGATGTAAACATTAAGAAATATCAATTGGTACGCTAATAATACACAAAAATAACGCATTTCACTTACGTAAAATGAGGAAATGAGTCAATTTCTTCGTATCCAGGGCACGAAGCAGTTCAAGCTGAGCGCGGGCACCACCAGCGAGGGAAGCGTGACGTCACTCAGCGCCCAGAACCTCTGCGCGGCGGACGGCCCTTCGTTTGCAGTGATTCAGATGCAGTCATAGAACAGACGAACGAGTCCTCAATTTAATTGTGCAAAATAACATCAGCTGCACAACAGTAATTGCCTAAATCATGCTTTCGATTTACTGCAGAAACCAAAAGAGCAAGAATTTAATCAAGAAAAATAATCCATGTAAAAAGTCCGGACCGCTGCAAGGAACTAATGTTATTTAAAAGTTCTCCTACTTGGAAGAAGGTTGTAGACTTCTCCGAAATGCAAATTACATAGGTTTGACCAGCACAATATTGAGCCTCAGACTCTCATGCCATCTACAAGCCGGAGGACCAATGAATCATATGCGGGAGGCCCACAACGAGACCATCACCTGTGCCACGTTGGAGGCCTGCACGAGCATCGTCATGCGATGCCCCAACGCTACGAGACTGTCGATAGCGGAGGCTCTCATCATCAAGGACGAGTCTCCTGCTATCAATTTGCAAACCGACGGATTCGTCAGGACGCTGAAATTATTCTCGGATTAATTTGATTTTCGATTTCAAACCGCATCTACGATACTTTCTGTATGAACTTACGTCATAACCAAATTTCAATTTTAAGCGTCGTAATAACTCTACACTTGCTTGATAATGAATATTGATACATTCGAAACGTCGCATTCCAGTAAAATGTCATATGGTAATCTGCTTCTTGATCTCCAAGCACCAGCAAGAAATTTCGTTCGGCCTACCAAAAAAAAACAGTAAGAAATTTGTTAATAAAAAGTATGCCCTGGTCTTCAATAAAACCTGTATAATGTTCGATCCCAGCGCACAGAGCTGGGATCGAACCCTCACCTCTCTTGGTACTCTGAACTGTAACTACTTGGCCAACCTGCCTGGAAAATTTTTGGTCTGTGAATAGGTCATGGATATTGAAATAGAAGCTGGGCTTCATTGAATAAAAGCTATTATCATTTTCATATCATAGTGATGACATCGCTGAAGAATAGTCATGATATGGCCTATCGTCGATTCTTGTACATTTCGTGACTTGTTCACGGGAGATCATAAAACAGGTCTATTGACCGGTTATTTTCGAAACTGGCGCTAGTTTGAAATAGTTTCTGGACTATATGGTGATAGATTCGATATGGTGCTAGCCATTCTAAGTCTGGTCATATATTTCTCCATAGCTTTGTTTAGCCGGTTCTTCTAAGTAATGGAAACCTTCGTCCCTAACATCAATGCGTTCACACTGTGTGCGTCAACGATGCAATCAGGAAAGCTGTTCCACACGTCGATGTCTCGAAGAGAGAAGTGTTGTCGCGTGGACAAGTTGCATCGCATGAATTTTTAGTTTATAGCTGTGGCCCCTGGTGTTGGTTCTTGTTTCAAATTCTAGTAATCTTTTTGCGATCTTGGATAAAACCATGAGTTTACTTGTGTAATTCAGAGAGAACGATCACGCAAGTCACGCAGACGTCGATAACAGAGGCTTGGCTTTATAAATTTTTTCGGATAAAATATTGTAAAATGCTCATTGGGCCCAACATACTTCCTTTACGTAATGAGGAGACTATTACTAGCCGTAATAAAGGACAATAGTGCAAAGAACAAATTCTTGGATATTGAAGTTATAAATTTTGGGACACTTGGTGCTAGGTTATCTTGTAAATTGAAACGTTGAAGACTTTTTAGACACATTATGACTACTTACGTATATGGCCTGTAAATTAATGATGCTGTTTTGCAGACAGTGAAGTCTATTGCTCTGAAGACTTAATATGCATTTCCTCCATGCAAAATCAAAATATTAGAAAAGCAGAGTCTCAATCGATACACTTTAGTGCCTGTACGCCATATGAGCCAAATCGTATGCTAATATCAATAAACAAAAATCACGAATATTACTATATTACTGATACATACTCATAGCAAATTATGGTACTTTGAGCCGATTGATTTTAAGGGGTGTAAAATAAAAGTATGAGTGTTAATGCAAGTATATTTCAAAATGTGATAATTTGAATTCACATCGAACAGTAATTTCAATAGTAAACATTAGATAAATAGAACAGGAAGTTTAATGGTAGCATTAAATCTAATTGGCACTCGGGTTTTTTTCCAATGCACACGATTATCACTCATGGTTTTCAAGTGAGAAGCCTCGCATCTCACACCTTGACTAGAATTTTCAGGCATAGCCTTAGAAGTTTGAAGAATATCCTGATTCTGATAGTATACTTGAGGTCATTACAAGCTCGGTTTCGGGCACCGCAGTCACCGGTTGGCTGTTTTGTTTCAGTTTGACAGGAGCTTGTTTGAGTTGTGTTTGGTCAACCTCCTTGCCAGAGCTCTTGAGTTCGGCAACAATTTCGTCCCTAACATCAGTCAGGCAGCGATGGATGTTGCTTGAGACGCAAATTTCTGGGATGAGACTCAGCGCCTGGTTGATATCCTCGAGGGCATCTTCAAGTTTGCTGTCGTGAAAAAATCCAATTAATGAACGAAATTTAGCATAGTTCGTATTAACAATTCCTCATGATTCGTTTGTATAAAGTAAGGCATCAAATACTTCCCAAACTTTAATGACCAATTATAATTATATTTAATTAATTATCAGTCTGTGCAAGAAAAGTTATTAGTAAAAATGAGAATAAATGGCTTACCCTCCTTTCCGTTTGGCCTGCGCTCGAGCAAAGTAGCTCTCGTACGAGTCTCGACTGAGCTGTAGAGCTTCATTGGCCAGCTGAATCGCCTCAGTGAGCTCCTATGAAAAAATATTGATGCCTTCAATTCATTTGTGCTTGATAATAAAAAATAATATTTGCATTCAAGCCAGTACTCGCAAATAAAAATATGAGAAATATTGATCGAAGACGCATGTGATCTACTCACGCCAAAAAGAACGGCATATGTTACGCCAATATGTACACCGATATGTCCAATTTGTCGATACATAATAATTAGATGAATGATGGTATGTGCCGACATTAAGGAGTACTAGTGATAGTAAACAAATTTTAATTACGGAATGAAATCATCGCTTACGTTCATCTTTCTTTTAGTTCGGGACAAGTTGAGAGTGAGATGAAGGCGCAGCGTAGCCAGGGTGTCGCGGAACTCATCTTCGTCGACACAGGTCGGGATTTTCTTCAGGGCGTAACTGAAGCGATGGGCAGCTTCTTTAAAACGGTTTTTGCGCAGTAAGGCAAGCCCGTCGCTCTTGAGCTTCATCAGCAACAGCAAACTGCAATTATATAAATTAAGCCGGCTGTAATAAGAAGAGAGAATATTTTCATCGGAATAATGATTATGAAATAAGTAGTTCTTGCAAAACGGGATCAACTTTCATCATTCGAAATGAACGCGTAAGATTGTGGGTAGGATCATAAGAATTTAGAAAATTACCTTATTATAAAAGAAAATTCTACAGAATATTTTGCTAAAATAACAGAATCAAACTAAATGAAAATTCCATTTACGCACATAATTTTGTGCTGAGAAGCTGCCAGGGACCAAGTGGTGGGTCCAAGTTTCGCTCCTTTTTGCAAGAAGCACTGAACGACGTCTGCATTGCCGGCACTGACAGCTCTGTCGATCGGCCGCATGCCACTCAGGTCGACGTGCTCTACCAAAGCCCCGTGTTCCATGAGCACTCGCACCACAGCAACACTTCCTTCATGAGCAGCCAGATCCAGAGGAGTCCGTCCCTCATGATCAGCATGATTGACGTCCGCCCCGTGGTCCAGAAGGTACTGGACAGCATGCTTTTTACCCAGCATACATGCCCAGCTGAGGGCTGTCAGTCCCTCCTTATCAGTTACGTCAAGCTTAGCGTCGTTCATCGTAAAAAGCTCCATGAGGCCAAAGTGACCCTCCACCGTGGAAATGATGAGTGATGTGCGGCCATCTTCGTTGGCTTGGTCGATAGGTACGGCGTTATCGAGGAGCAATTTGCAAGCTTCATAGTGACCATTCTGGGCAGCACAACACAGAGGCGGTTCTCCTTTCCTTCCTTTCTTAAGGACAGACACCCGCCACTGCAGCAAACATTTGATTGAATCTACTTGGCCAGACTTGCACGCAGCAGTGAGGGCCGTCTCACCAGATCTGTGGTCTATCTCATTAACGAGCTCCTGGCATGACTGGATGAGCTGGTCAATCGTCTGTAGGAACATGTCAACCATAAAATTCAAAATTATTCAAACTGTAAGAGAAAAATTTTAAAAACAAAAAACAATAAATTTTAAATTATCAACGACAACATTTATAAGAGTTTAACTGATTGCACTTGATAAATATAAGCTTACCGGTATATTATCATAATAAGCTCTTTATCATATCATATACATATGATATGACCTATATTATTAAAAACTAAATAAAATAATATGGTATTCATCAAAGAAGTATTCTTTGCATCAAAACAATTACTAAGGATAAAAGTTATTGTCAGATGATGCGGGATTTTACCAATACTGAAATACCTAAAAATTTCGAGGGACAAACTTGAGGCAGCTCACCTGGGCATGACCATTGCGGGCAGCAGCCACGAGCGCCTGGAGAGTCTGATTCCTGAGACTGGCACGCGGCCAATCGCACCTCAGCAAGGAACTCACGATCTCGCTGTGACCGAACGATGCGGCTTTGACTAGGGCGGTTTCTTCGAGACAATTCCTTGCCGAGACATTAGCTTTGTTTTCTATGAGAGTTTTTACGATGTCAAGATGCCCAGCTGCAGCTGCCTGTATCAATGGAGTATTTCCATCGTTGTTGGGACGGTTTGGATTTGCTTGAAACTCAAGTAACAAACAAACGAACTCGTGAAACCCAAGGGCGCTGGCAACACCCAACACTGAACTTTCCTTTTTGACGTTAGTCACTTGATTTGCTGAAGCTCCGGCGAGTAGCAGGAGTCGCGAGACCTGAAAAGTGCAAGAAAACTCTGAATTCCATTGGATTAAGTATTCGGTGTTAGATATCATGTGAAAAAATTAGGAATTGATGGCGAAATTCTATAGGGTCTCCTATACACTACTTTCAGCAACATTTGATAATCATCAAATATCATTCCAAATACCTACCTGCAGGTCAGGATAGAACAGATTACGGGGATGAATTAAGGCCCCGGAAGGATTTGCGGACGACTGAGTTATCCAGAGAGCCTGGTATTCTTCCCTCGTCATGATGCCCTTGTTGTCTTGAGAGAAAGTTTGTGAGCAGACAATGTGGTGGGCGAGTTCGAGCGTCGCCTCGTCAGAGAGAGGCCAGTCGACACGAGTGAGTTTCAATGCAATGTGGCAATGCCCGACGTTTACGTCAATAAGGAATTTTTTCGAGTCTCCTCGAGACCGACTTGTGAGCCACTCCCGCAAAGCCGGATGGAAGAACACGTAGGTATTGTCATGCCGCTTCCTCAGCAGGTCTTTGAATGGTTTGAAGAGATTCAGGAACTGGGCGTATGAATAGAATTGACATAAATAACCGGAATTTATGGATTGGTATATTTCATGAAGGGTGAGAGGTGAGCGAGCTGCAAGAACGACGTTAAAAATTGACTGGTGCTTCTCGTAGCTGGCGGTGGTAGGGAACTTAAAGTTGAACATCAAAAGAAAAATTTCCGCTAATGACTGAGGGAGGATTTTGAAAGATCCGGATTTTAAGACTAGTAAGCCATTTTCAATTAGGTTAAGAATAAGTTTTAGAAATAACATAGATCCTTTCGAGAGGGCAACTACGTGATGCGTGAACCTATCAAGCACAGAGCCGCTCTCTAAAGCGTCGGGAGTTACAGAGATGTTTTCCGATACTCTGTGCGAATGTTCGCATCTGAAAGACACGTAATTAATAAGATCTTCGTAAGCAGGATCGCTTGGGGAATGCTGGACTTTGAGATCAAGAGAGATTGGGTGAAGCGGAACACTCTCCAAATCTCCTTCAAAGGGAGGTCTCATAGTCACAATGAACTTGAGAATGGCAGGCGCGTTGCTAATTTCTTTCCATAAAAAGTCTGCAAGTGATCTAATAGTCGACTGTGACCCGCTCTTCTCAGGCATTACCAGCCCGTCGATCAACATAACAAAGGCATCATTCGGAAGTTTGCCTCGCCTCCTTAAACGCTGTAACGGCTGAAAAATTCCTTTTTGAAGCGCATGGGAAGGATCAGCAATGCACGATGCGAGACTAACACTTTGTCTTAAGCTCATATCAGCCTGAAGCAACTCCTTGTAGGCTGCAAGCCGTGGACTCTGGTAAAGTTGGTTCGCCATGGAGTGCACAAAGTCTGGGACTAGGTTGGTGCTTGCGTCTCCAGCGAGACAGAAGTGATAGGCAACAACTCGACCTGCCAGTGCATGTAAAGCTGTTTGATCAGACGATACAGGCTCGCAGTAAATCTCAGACCCAGATGATCCTGCAGAGGAAATCAATAGAAAGTGAGAACGAGATTGATAAACAGACAAAACTGAAGCAAAAAACGCGAGATTTTGTTTTAATCGTTTCATAGAAAAATATTCTGCGCTTTTTTTTACGATTTTAAGACACCTGCCTTTAAATCGCATATATTGCCAATAATATTATTATATAATATAAGATAGAGAAGAAAATAATTATATTTTCTTCTTTATTCCTGTAATACAAAGAAAGCAAAAATAATTGATAACAGCATTCCGGAATACGCTCGTAAATATTGTTAACATTGTTAATACGCTCGTAACAGCATTCCGGAATTCGCTCGTAAAATATACGCTCGTAAATATTGAAAATAAGAAAATGTTCACAAATTACCTTGGTAAGATTGGACGTGGTCGAGAATTCGAATGATGGACGCCGTTTTGCCAGTGCCAACAGCACCGACGATAAGAGCGCCTTTTTTCTGCGATGCCTGAGACGACACGTAGTTGAAAAGTTCTTCAAAGAGCCAAGACCGACCGATGAACTCGGCGTCGAGACTGGGTGCAAGGGAGTCGTTGGCTTGCGAGGAGACACATCGCGACGGAGGAGTCACCATCCTACCTGCAAGCAACAAGAAAGCGGATCTCAGTTCCAAAATATTCCGGTAATCAAATAGAATGAAATGAAGCAAAAATTTGGCAAATTTTGCCGTCTACCATTACTGGACAACTGGATAAAGATTGTCCTCTTACTGGACAACTTGTACTGACGACTTAACAAATACTTCACATTAAATTCGGTCTGAAGTGAATTATTCGCCTCATCGATATTATTACATTGGATATTATTTGTTGAGGAGAAAAATTGTCACCAAAAATGCAGCACAAATTCTTCTGTGATAATTTTTCTAGACAACAAACACGAAAATTTTAATTATAAGCAGTACTTAATATTTTTGTGAAATGTAATTTTTTCTCTTTTGATGAGCAAGATTTAGTTCACTAACTTAAGGACAGAGGAGGCTTGGTGAGAACCGCCGCACCCATACGAGGGGAGGTGTACAGGGAGGGACAGTAGAAACGATCACCGTAGACACGATCACCGTAAACGCGATCACCGTAAACGCGATCACCGTAAACGCGATCGCCGTATCGTTCTTCGTAAATGCTTTCCTCGGGTGAACGTCGCAGGCGGGGTTCCACTTCAGACGAACCTGCTGGTTGAACCATTTTAGCTCGTTTCATTATTAATATTATTGAAAGAATGCCATTTCAAGTAATGTAAACGACAGGTTTATCAGCTCCATGAATCCTTGAATAAGTATTCGAAGTTGTTCTTATAAAGTATAAACAGTATAAAAAGTTGTTCTCACGTAGGTAGATCATTTGCGAGCGCAATCTCCGTCTCCATCGTAGTGGACACAGAGATTGCCGCGTTTTCGGTACCGATTAACGTAGAAAAATAAATAAAAAGTGATTAACTGCCGCGTTTACGGCACCTGTCAGCGTAGAAAAAGGGCTGGTGTTGGAGCTGGCAACGTTAGGTCCACTTGATGCCTTGGAGCCACCAGAGGAGTTTGTCTTGTTGTCTGCCGCGGCGGCGGAGGGACAGAGCAGCAGCTGGAACCTAGCGTAGAGGTCTTCTTCAGCCGCTTTACTTGAGGGCAGCACCGGCAGCACAGGGTGGTCGGGGGAGATGCCGTACAAACCACCTAGTTCATCACAAATTTATTATAAACTTGCAAGGGATTCACAAATTTAGGGCTTCTTTTGGGTTCATTTTGCAGTTAATAGCACTGTGCAGTTCTTAAATAACCTTCTATGTTGCAAAATATAACTAATGAAAACACAAGATGTAAGCTCAAGCTAATTTTTTCTTGTCTTTTTCAAATCCACCAATGAAAGCAATGCAAGAAGGTGCTTTTCCGCTGAAGTATCAAAATTAAGCTACAAGAAATGATAGAAAACTGCCATCAGCTTCACTAAATGTTCAATACTAGGATTCTTCAGTGAAAAACCGACCGAGTGGAGCGCCCCTGAGCCCGAGTTCCTCCCTGCGCGGCAGCGGCAGCGGCACCGACACGCGTCGGCTGCGGCGTCTGCCAGGGCGCGCGCTCGCCCGCACGCCTGCGAACAAAATCAACAAGTCGGTCAAAAATAACCATTGAAATAAACTATACCAACTGTACAAAGTCAACATAACAAGAAAGCAGAATGAACACGCCCGAAAAATAAAAGCCACGGGAAAATAAGATCGTTACCGTTAAACCAGAGGAGTACAAATGGATGCAAATGAGTGATATCTGGATGTCAATAAGTAATTCATTTAACAAGATTGATAGTTACCAGAAATTCAGGTATTTTTCAATAATGTTAAATTTAAATTAACAACTTCAATCGCACGAGGAAGTTTCTTTTACTTGTCATTTTATTCTTTCTGCTATAGAGCAGCATTAGTGCATGGTGATATCTAAAAGCCTACCTCTAATTCTTCGTATTTAATAATGATGGGCGAATATTCGTTAAGTGATCAGCAAACTTTGGTAAGTGTCTTTGGCTGTGGTCACGACGTTTAGGTAGACATATATTTCCACACATTTGACCATGGAACTCGTGGAAGGATGTTTGTAACCGTCAGGTAATAAGTTTTTTCATCGTATGTTTGCTACGGTACCATGGTTCAGGTATAAACACAAGGTTTTCGATTGTGGTAGGTATATTGTTTCGGTAAGTAATATTGGCCGTGTATTTAATTATGGCAGTATGGTTTCACCGTAGGAATTATTCTGGTTCATGCAAGTGTTATCCACATTAGACGGGATTACTTTAGCATGATTCAGGACGGTGATTTTCATCCCTTTTTTTATCATGATATTCGGGTTCAGATAGGTGGAATTTGCTCAATATTTCATAATACTTGCATGTTTCAGGAATGTGCTATTTACCTTATGTTTGTTATAGTAGCATGTTTCGAAAATGTGGTATTAACAGAATATTTCATCAGGGAGCATAGTTCAGGAAAGTGGTACCTGCCATATCTATATTTTTGCCGTAGCATGGTTCAAGAAGGCAGTATTTAACTAATATTTCATTATGGTAGCATGGGTGGTACTCGTATTTACTTTATATTTTGTTACGGTAGTATGGTTCAGAAAGATGGTATTTGCTTTATGTTTCGTAACGGTAGTATAATTCATGAGGGTGGTATTTACCATGTATTTGATGGTGGTAGTAGGGCGCTGCCCTGGGTTGCTGTTGCAAGGCTCCAGCGGGAGATGAGCCTCGAGAGCTCAGACGGAAGGAGGAGCTACGAAACCTGAGACCAAAACATGGAAGTTTAGTTCGTGACGCAGCATTGGCAACATTTTCTTTTTCAGAAAATTGCATTATGTTATCAGAATAAAGAAAAAAACTTTCCTTTAAAATTGTGATTAAATTCATATTTAAAAATTTACCACTTACTTGATAATTTGACTTTTGAAGTTCGAGACAATTTTACAAAAATTTCCATAGTTTGACAACAAAATAATCATTTGACGTAGTAGACTTATCAAGAAATTATTTACCGTAAAAATGTTTTGGAATTATGAAATGAGTAATGTTAAATACTGCCTGATAATTTGGCAATAGTTTGACACAAAAATATAGGGTAAGTTACCGGCAAGGCGACATGGATGTAGAGCGCAGAGATGCGGACCGCGCGTCTGGTGGCAGGCCGGGGCCTTCATGTCGCGTCCGTTCTGTCCGCGCACCAAAAGATGATGTTGAAAATACTTGCATATACATGTAGTGTCAAAATTATATTGACACAACTATAATGCAAAAAATTAATAAAATAGTATTAAATTCAGACTTGTTTTTTACTTGCGATGTTTAAATTTTCACACAATATGCTTATTAAATAAAAGTTCGTTTAGTTCTGAATCGTTTCTCCTAACTCATTTTGAAACGGCAACAATCATATGATATGTATATATTACTTCAAGCTTCTCAATGACCTAACTCGTGTCCTACAATTCGCAAATGTTAGGACTGAGAACATTCAGCTAGAGATTACAGAGGTAAATTTAAAGTGCTCTTATATCACAGAGCATTTGTAAAAAAAATAAATTTTTTACATGGGATAACGTATTTAATAAAATGAATAAACTCATCATTAAAACATTTAGACAAAAGTAGATGGATGAAAATAGTGGACATAGATTTTCAAATTAGATCCGATGAAAGCTTGTAGCTAAAAGAAAAGTTACCCAAGAGCGCAGTGCAGAGTGGACATGTTGCGGAGGCAAAGGTGCAGCGGTAGCAGCGCGTGTGGCCACATTGCTCGCGCAGCGGCCGAGCGTCGCCGCTGCCATATGCCACCAGACACTGCGGGCACGACGGTGGCAACGGAGGCAGGGGGCTGTCCAGTGGCATCTCCAGCCCTGGCAACATGTGACGGAGTTATTAAATATTCTAATATTCTGTCAGCAACACGACGCTGATAAGTTGACAACATCTAATCCTGTTAACACTCAAGCACGTCCGAGATTGTTACCTATACGACATAATTTTTCGATCACACGAAAATCACGATAAATTACCAAGCGAAGATGAAATAACAATGCATCATTAAAAAATGAAACAATCGAATATATGATGGTATCTAAACGATATCCTGGAAACATTGACTAGTTAACAACGAACCCAATTAACACAAAATACTCTCAGCTGACAAACAGTTGGTGAAGATGTGACCAAACACAATAAACAGCGGACGTAAATCCTATCTACGCACTGCCATCACATTACATGATGGTTGCTAACTAAGTTAGGCTTGCGTTGAAAAAAAAAGCTCAGTGAACTAGAAGACACCGAAAGTAAAATTAAGCCATTACCAACAAGTCTTGTCTTCGAAACAAGCATACTTTGAGTTTGTGAATAACATTGGCAAATATTTATTACCTGAACATTCGTATTCGTCTACTATCATTATTTATATTTATTTTTATAGAAATGTAAGTTGTTTTCGTCAATAAAATATATTCATGTAAACCAGACAAATTTCTCTTTTGTCTCTCTTCTCTCGCACTACTCACATGAATTAAAAATGTCAGAACTAAAATAAATTATTTAAACATATATACCGATAAATGCAATAACAACTGGAAAAGAACAAAGCAGAAACCCGAAAATAAAGATGACAGCCACGGGCGCAAATCTCATCAACCATTTTTAGAACGATTCATTTAAAATTCTGAAAGGAATATAATAAAACGTGTACGACCATTAATCTAATTGTAATATGCCATAGTAAGAAAGTGTTTTGTTCCAAACTGTTGTTTGCACAGACGGCGGCCAGCCAAGAAGGCTGTACCGCTGGATTAATGCAGGGCGTGGGCTGTGTGGCGAGGGATGATGGATTACGCGATATGAGCCATCAAGATGGACGGCATAGTCGCAGCATTCGAAAGCAAAAAACAATACAATGCACTTACTTAGAAAAGACACACTGACGATTTAGTGATAACCTTGTCTTTAAATTAGAGTTGTGTTCGGTATTGCTTCAAGCACTGAGTACTCATTCTAACACTAAAGAATGCAAGATAATCCCGAGAAGAATTTTAGTTGGGAATGGAAGAATGAATATGCTTGTTAGAAGGAGACTTGAACTGTCTACTTTAATTTCCCAAGTACTTGTGGATTCAAACATGCAAATTCTCGAAACATTCTCGGGCACAAGAAAAATAAAAAATAATTCTCATAATAAAAAATAATTAACAATAATAATAAAAATAATAATTCTCAAACCACGCACACGTAGCACAGCAGCTTACTTTACATTTTACTTCTTCATACCAAATTAAACAGCTACTCAGGTGCTTTTCATACCGAATAACAACTCAACACGAATTTAATGACATGGTAAGCAGAGATGATGCAACTTGGCTGCGGAATACGGACTATTAAATTTAAATTGATCCTGGGTATTTCTTGAATATTACTTTTGGAGTACAATGAGTAAGAGGCCCGCTATATGTCAAGAGGAGCAAGGCTACGAAAGGCTTGCAGAAGACGTCCTATAAGCAGGCAGTTGTTTACGTAGCACCACAGGTGTGGGCGATCCGGCGTAGGCGAAGCTAAACTCTTGTCTCGACTTACAAACACTTTGCAATGAATGGCTGACATTGCCAGCACCGAAGTGACAACACATTCGCAGCGTTTCCCTCTGGCACAGAGCATGAAGTAGTAGTGGTGCAAGCTCAAACGCCTATCTATTGATGCCCGAGAAAAATTTCGTTTACTCAGGAGCAAATTTACTTATTTACCGGCGAAAAATCTACTAACTCAAAAAGCCATTAGCTGCCAGCAGCCAAGAAAAATGCAACGAAATATATGCAGTCCAGACTGAGTTAATTTGCAACACAAAAACTGTTGCTTTTCATTGAAGAAATCGTCAGGGAAAATATATATGTATGTAGATGACACGGCTTTTCAGAGCTATGAGTGAAGGATGATATTATCAGTGTAGGTATGCACTTGCACACACGCCGTCCACACATAAGGCTATTACCGTATGTCTCGGCTGTTATCACCTCAGCGTTCTCTCCCCCGCACTGAGGAAGATAAAGGCAAGCAGCACTCTACTGTATGACTGATGCGGCAAGCAGCCAAATCATCCCAATATTCAAATACTCTCAGCACATTTGTTATGATATTCTTCTTCACAATAGAGCTTGAGTATTAACTAGAATACTAGATTCATTCACATATTTTGAAATATGAAATAAATTTGTAGCGGCTAGAGTTATGATTTATAAATATTCTTACAAAAGTTGTAAAAATTTAGGTTTGACTCTCACGAAAAAACTAAAAACGTCTATTAGCCGTTTCCTTGTGCTCATACGTATAGTCATGAGAAACAATTTGCGAACGATCTCTAACTTGATGTGTCTTTTAAACGCTGCATTATATTATAACTGTATATGCATGAGCGCAGGATTCATTCATTGTGCTCGCTTCTAACTTCATAATACGGCAATTGGTGAAACAATTTTTCACCAAATTATTACTTACATAGAAGCCACACTCTTTTAGGGCAAAGTTCGACATCTTTTATCACAGTTAAGGTGCTATGATTGAGCTTCCATGCACAACTACAGCAATAAACTCCCGCCACCAAGATCATTGTAAAGCAATATAATCCTCGCTTCACTGTGGGCGCCCGACTGCATCACACGCTTCCATCAAGCTCAAAATTTTACTTTCGTCGTTTGGCCATTAATATTATTTCCTAATCCATAAATTCAAGTTCATACTCCCTATTTTTACAATTATCACTTCAAACAGCAATTAATAGGTCAAATAATTCATGCTTAAGTTAAGCATATTTCTGACTTACTGGATTTCAATTCTAAAATAATGAGTTTATTCGTAAAGGAAATGGCTGCCCATCACATTTGTAATGGCAATAGCCGAAGAAAAACATATCTTGACAATAAAACGTTAGAGAAGAATGGCCCATTGTGAGAAATTATTGGTGTAGGAAGGTCTGCGTAGCTAATTTAAATCAGGACACAATAGTTAATTGATTCCAGACGTAACCTGCTTCCGGTGTGGAATTCATGGGTACAAATTGCCATTGCGAAATCGTGGTTTGAATGCCTCCAGTAGATTACCATAGCAGCTGCATGTCTAAGCCATCTAAATGCAAACTCAAAAAGCATTAGTCTGATTAAAAAGTTACTTAGTAAGATAAAGTAAGGACATAATTGTACGTACGTTCGTATGTTGACCGGAAATAAATAACAAATGAAACTTGCCCTCTTATTCGTCAAATTTGAACTACCTCGAACATTAATTACTACTTATGAAAATAAGCTAACTCGATAGATCCTTCATAAAATAATTTACAAATAGTCATTTTTTTTCAATACTTAACTCGATTTTTAATCGAAGTTCATGCACGCTGTAATAGAGTAAAATGCACAACATTGCTAAGGAAAGATCAGTATATTTAGGACATGTAAAAAAATTAACCTGCAATAACCACATAGTCTTAAAATATTTACGAAATTCCAATTCACATATTGGACAATAAAAAATATTACATTAAACAATGAGAATTTGCACGCACATTTAACGGGACAACGCTTATTCCATAATCACTAGTTCCCGTTATAAGTGTATGCACCAACTACGAGTCTTGCTGGTTCTTCAGTGATGCAGCTACAGTTCGTTCATAAGCTCATCCCGGTGATACCCAAAAGCTGTGGTTTTATCTGCTGCTCTTAATCATTCAGAGAACTGCAGAGATAAGGACCACGATAAGATGGCAATAAGTGGCAAGTTGCTCCGAGGGTAGCGTATTCGCTTATCAGCGGGACGGCGCCAGGAAGCTCGATACAACTCGACTCGAAACATAAAGCGCTTAATCAATTTGATTAACTAAGATTCCCAGAATTCCTCTAGTTAACAAAGTTTCGGAGTAAATAAATTTTCAAAACTCAGAAGGTTATATACATTGTTGTATCGTTGTGCGAAATGAAGATCTCAAGACTGAACCAAACACACTCTTCTGTAAGATACAAAAAATGTACTCCTAGCATATAAGTAATATGGTAATGACTAATATTATAAATGAGGTGATAGAAGGTATACCCTTGAAAAGCTTTGGAGCTTGGCTATAGTTGCATAATGGCTAGAATTTTTTTTGCACACAAATTTTGCCACTCCTTTCGAGAGCAAAAAAATGGAATAAATAAAATTAAAGCATCTTCAGACCAAATACGATGGCATTCTACGTGTGAATTAACGAGTTTATCCGAAAAGTTAAGAAATAACTAACTAATAGAGCGTTATTTGAATCTTAATTCAATAGCAAACCTCTTACAACGAAAATTTATAATATCGATAACTAATTTTCTTATGATAAATAATATTTACAGATTATTATATAGCATTATATTACAGTTTAATAAAAATATTTGCAATAGGCTGGCGAAAAAATGAAGAACGAAATGCCCAAAAGAAATGAACGTCCACTGCAGAGACCAATAAGTGGACCAAAAGGGACGCCTGTCGGTGACCACCACTGCCGTGCTTCGGATGGACAATCATGATCCCTTCCCTGAAGAACGTAGCCTACAACACATCTTGACTGTAACATTATCAGCCGCACGCCACCAGACAGATCACATCCATTGAATTATACGACGCGTGGCCGTTCGACCGTAGGCTGATTCGACACACGGGACAGATACGGACGGCTCCGGCGCGCTCCGTCCGGGTGGTGTAAAATTTTTTCGCGTATGGGCAGACGACGCTGGGCCATACGACGTCAGGCTATTTACCTGTGGGCTGATTGATCTAATTCAATGTATGTGATCTGTCTGGTGGCGTGCGGCTGATAATTTTACTGTCAAGAAGTGTTGTAGGCAACGTT